AGGGGCGGGGGGCGCTATTGGTGAGCCCCGCCCCCTGCACCTGTGCCGTGCGCAGGTGCGGAGGAGGGGCGGCCCGAGGGGGATTCCCCCCGCACGCGCTGAGACAAAGCCGCGCAGACAAAGGGAGGGCCGGGCCGTGCCCCGTGCGTGGCTCCCCCGCGTGGGAGGGGCCTGCGGCATCCCTGCACTCTGCTTCTCGGCGACAGAGACATAACGGAGCGAGGCTCAGGGTGCTTGGGGAGCCCCGGCTCGACGCCTCAGAGGTGCCACGTGGCGCCCGGCGGCACCTGGCGGGGTCAGGGCCCTGCTGGGATTCCCCGCTGCGCGGGCTCCAGTCCTGGGAAAGCCGCTGGGAGCGGAGGTGCGCCAGGCTAAAGGGAAGCTAAGAGCAACAGTGGGCCGATACGGTGCAGCACAACGTGAGGCTTCCTGTTCCTGCTGCCAAGTAGCGGATTGGACTTGCACAGCCAGGAGCTGGTGGCCTGCTCCCTACCGCCGTCAGCAGGCTGCCCCTGACATTGCAGAGCCACCGGCTGGTATCGCAAGCCTTCGCCCAGGCTTCCTCCACGGCTGGACATCGCCTTGCCTTTTCCTGTGACAAGTTCACATCACAAAATGCAGCAAGAGTTTGTAGACCAGTAGTTGCAGTTTATTAATTGACTCTATCCAGCATTATTCTAAATTTATTGGATGCTTAATTCTGCATTGCTGCTTTTTTTGCATTTTTGTCATATTGTCACACTGGACCTCTTACCAGCTTATGTATTCTGTGCAGCATTCAGATTTCTTAGGCTAAATTACTGAAGTGCAGTAAATTAGGTCACAAGTCCACTTCCAATTCGCTCCTGTACTACCACATCACATACATAGTAAGACATCACATACTTGAATAAAATAAGCATTTGAATCCCACAAATATTCAAATCTTAGATCAAAATATTTCAGCAGTTTTTCTTCTGGTTAGTAATAATAGTTTAAAAAATAAAATGTGTCATAGTCTAACTGATAACCAGGGATCCTGGTTTTATCTAATTAATAAAAAATCCCCAATTTTTGGATTTAAAAAAGTAACCCCCAATCCATATTTTCCCACAATTAAAATAAAATGCCACTAATATAAATATAAATAGTGGTGTTTCATTTTAATAGCAGAAAAATATGGAATTGCAGTTACTTTTTTAAATCTGAAAATTGAGGATTTTTTTTTTATAACCACAAATGTATGCAACTGCACATTAGCTGGTTATAAACCAGGAATGGTTAACATGTTTATAAAAAAAAAATCTACAATCTTCTAAATAGATTCATTTTTCAACTCTTTTTTTTCTATAATACTGGAGAAAAAAAGTTCTGAAACCCCAGGTTTTGGTAAATGAAATACCAGTTTTGATTAAAATTGACAAAATAATGCATTTATTATAATCTATGCATATTTTTTTTTCTCTCCAAAATCAAAACTTCAGCTTTTTCATGCACATTTTTGGTTTCAATGGAAGGCCGTTTTTTGGCCCAAACCCCAGCATTACATATGGGTAACATCAATACTCAGTAGCAGGGTGTTCTTAGGCCAGTTTTCAGGGAAAATGTCAGATGAAATTGCTTAACGTAAGCATGCAAGAGATTTCTATGGGTAGAATCTGACCCTATACCTGGAACACGAGTTACGAACTTGAGCTAGAGCCCTCTCAGTCAGCTGTGTACTAGTTCTGTAATGCTAACAATAGTCCAACAAACTTTTGCCACTAACGTTCTCATAAGATGTCCGCAGATATTTGTGAATTCACACAGGAAATAGATCTCTTGAGAAATAAATTCCAGTTTCTAAACTCACTTTTCACAAGGAAATTGAAGTTAAGCATTCTCCACCAAATATATTAGGAAACATTATTAAAGAAGACTAGCAGTAATATCTTTGGCAGTAAAATTCATTTTCTGAATAACCTATACCATTATTTTCATTACGGATGAATTTGGCCCAGAAATTTCCAGGCTTACAGCTGCACATAGCATGTTGGTATTTGACTCAGTGAATGTTTCTGCAATGAGGGTCTGAATTTTGTCAGGCAAATCCTCTGAATATTATTGAATTATTAGCGTGAATAGTATTATAATAGAAAAGAAAATAGTCCAAGATGAGGCCTATGAAATCACAGAATGAACACAAACAAAAAATTGTGAAAAGTGAAATCAGCTCCTGAAAAAAACCCCAAAACAAACTACATCAAAAGTGTGCATCCTGTGTTAATTCTATAGCAGTGGCATTCCAGGGATGATGCACCAAGAACTTAATTTCATACATCTAAAAATGTATTTTTTCCTAAAATAAGTGCATTAGCTTTGTGTGTCATAACCTAAGGCTCCAATTCTGCAATTGACTTCATGCAAGCAGACTGTGCGTAGAATCCCACTGACATTAGCAGTGCTTTGAGGAACATACAACACATTTGTCACTTGCAAGTTCAGGGCCCAAGACAGGACTTGCAGAAGTCTGTTATGGAATGCTAAACAACTACACTGAAACAGGAATCGAATTCAATCATCGTTTTAGATTTTTAGAAAGACCCATTTGTGCTCTGATTCAGTGATTTATAATTTAAGTTATAAAACAAATAATTCAAGAATTAACATACTGCAAGTACTAAGTATAGCATCAATCTTGTGTTCAGTTTCAGTTTGATTCCTGCCATGGCATCTTCATACCTCTGAAAATGTTCATTATTTATGATAGAAATTTAGGTTTACTTGTCCAATCACATTTGAGTTGAGGAAAAGTGCTAACTTCATAAAGTTGGAGAGTGAATTCCTCTGTTCAAAGAACATACAGGCTACGTACAGATAGTCAGAAAGCCCAAGCCTAAATCAGTTCAGTCTTTGCAGGTTAGTCTAAGTTGTTTAGACTGAACCAATATGCAAGTGAACAGACATTCACTTTTGATTCCAGAAATGCAGCCACATGCCTGCAGTGGCCCTGGCCAGAAGCTGGGGGACGCTAGAGAATACCCTCCTGCTCAGCTGGAGCAGATAGCTTGGGCCAAGGCTAGCCCACCCGTGCTGTAAGGGGGAGTTTGCGTGGGATGGGCAAAGCATACTGGGATGTTGGGGGACTGTGAGTTAACTTGAATCTGGAGGGGATCTGGGACAGCAATAAACCAACTGAACCTAAATTAATTAAGTCTGATATTACAGCCATTCAGGTTTATCTTAAGCTGGTTTTGGCCATTTTGAAAGTGGTCTGTGTGTTACAAACTTGAACCCATTTTCAATCGCTTATACCGATTTATGTGTAATTTCTGTCCCTAGCCACAGAGCACGCTTTAGCAGCAGTGCTAATTTGCCCTTGAGCTCAGTATTGAACCACATTATCCAGCACTCAGGGTTAAATAGTAGTTCATTTTCCAAACTTGTTCACTGGCCTTGGCCTCCATGCTAAAGCTGCCAAATGGGGTAATGTGCAAGCCAGTATCTAGCTATCAACAGTGCACTAATTGCTCTGTTGAACCACAGCAAATGAACAAGAAATGGCAAATAGTACTAAAAACACACTTAGTTCATTTACCCTAGATTAAGCACTTACTTTGTTGACCAGCGTATATATGAAAGAGATAAGGAGCCAGCCAAAATCTAGCCACACCAGTAAGTGTATTTAAGAGGAAAATGCAATTTAAAAAAATTTAGATTTCTAAATTTTAGAAATGTAGAGTTCTTATACATGTACTAAAGAGTACTGGATCTGAATGACCTGGCTAGCCATACTTGAAAATAAATTTGTTTCTCACTAACTTTCTCAGTACTTCCTCATTCTGAGACTGGTTCTTTTGCTGTTTTTCCAGTTTCAAAAAATATATATGCACTCTAACTTGGTGAATACTATTATACCAAATAAAAACATAAATGTAAACAGTGGTGAGATCCTTTTTTTTCCTCTACCCTTTCTCTTACTGGACAAATGTAGCAACAAAAACGTAGCCTGCTTAGAAGACAAAACTTAAGCTCCAGTCCTTAAACATTTAAATTTTATATCTACCTCTCTCTAAGGCTTGATCCTGAAAAATAAACAAACGAGTACTTACATTTTACGCTATTAAGTATGTTTACTTTAGTTTCTGAGACTACATATGCAAAATTAAGCACATCTACACTTTTGGGACTTATATAATAGTCACTTAACCCTTTAAAATATAAGTTTTTAAGTTGGAAAATAAAATGGCATCATTTTTTGCCAGTTGCTGCCCCTTTAAAAGATGTCAAGTAGA